CTTGATTAATGTCTGTCTCCCCCACTAAACTGTAAGTCCCAATTCCCATATTATTTTGTCAGCGAAGATCCAGTTTTGTCAGAAGCTCTAACCTTGTCTGGGTGCTGCTGAGCTCTGTGGAATGTCAGAAGACTGCATACCCTTTCATGGATCATCTTCCATGTGGACTCAGAACCAGGATGGAACCTGCTCCACAGATTAAATGGAGTGGAATATTACACAACTACTAAAAAGGATACTTACATAGAATACATAACAATATGGGTTGATATTTAAACCTTAATCATAAGTAAAAAAACAGCTACATGCAAAATGATATACATAGTGGGATTTCAATGTTTTTATTAAACCCACACATAGGGAAAGCACTGGGGAATAAAAACAACCAGGATGTTAAGAATGGTTTTTGTTTGGGTGTGTGGCTATGAGTGATACTTTTCTTCTTTGCACTTTACTATGTTTTTCAGATATTTGTCTAACAAACAAATCTTGCTCTTACGTTTAAAAATTGAATCCAAAAAATTTTAATATAAAATTTAATCCCAGTTTTCTACTATGAGGATTTTATTTTATATCTCATTTGCTTTAGGCATCCAGACCCCAAACTTAACCACACGTCTGACAGTGTCAGTTCTGCACACATGGAACATTTTCTCACTTCCATAGGAAATTTGCCAACACTCTGCCAAGAACGCTGTCACCTCCCAACCCCCATTCCTACTCTTATTAACCCCTACCCACCCTTCAGAGCTCAGTTCAATCGTTGATTTTATCAGGAAAAGTTCTTCCTGGACCCCTCCTGTAAGAGGAGGTCAGCTCCCCTATTATACACACCTGGAGTTCCATTTACCTACCCCTCATTCACAGCGTTTCCACCAGTAGACGGTTTTTCATTATTTGGTTAATGTCTATCTTTACTCCTAGACTGAAACTGGGACTGACACTCTTTAGTTAATAGCTCATGCCAGGGCATGGTAGGTATTGAATACCACAATAGGTATTTAATAAATATTTGTTGAGTGATTGAATTCATTCATTCATTCATTCATTCATTTATATCTCGGAGGGTGGGTGGGTACCAAATTCTAAATTCTGAGGTATAGGGGCTTCCAGTCAAGATGGCAGAATAGATAGTCCCCAGCATCATTCTCTTACAAATCAACCAATTTACAATTATTAAAAAAGCAATGACAGCCAAGCTGAGGCTACTAGAGCTCAGGGGAAAAGGAGGAAAGACCTATGGAGTGCATGAAGAAGGGAGAAGCTATGATGAGAGAAAGAAAAACCCACTCCAACCATTTCAAGCCTCTGCCACTTCAAGGCTGGAGCTGCTGAGCACATAGAGCAAAAGCTGGCAAAAGCTGCAGCTGTGCCCTTTGGATGGAGTTGCTTGGAGGCAGCAGGGGAAAAGAGGGCCTTGGTGGCCCCCAGGCCAGCAAGACCACTAACAGGGTTCCTGTGGACCCACATAGGTGCAAGGAGCCACAACAACTGAAAAAAAGGAGCCATTTAGAGGCCACTGAGTCATCACAAGGGACTGGCACATGGCTCATCCCATGGGAAGTGTTTTGAGCATGGGCAGTGGGGGAGACAGGCCCACTGGGGAAACACTGGGGCACAGCAAGGACAGCCGATCTGTCCCCCACTCAGCATAGGACCACAGAGTGGAGACTGGACAGGAATACAGAACTGCAGGGGATGCAGTTTGCTGAAAAGACTCAGGCCCAGAGCAGAGTTTCTATACAACCCAGGTGTACTGTAACTCATGAGACCTGGAAGTACCAATAAAGTCAACCATTAAATCCTGAGCTGCACAAAAAGCCTTCCCCAGGGAATCAGCAACAGAGCAGCAATTTAGCTTAACCATGCAGCTCAAGTCCTGGTCCCCACAGGAAGTTCGCCC